AGCCCCGCCCCGCCCTGACTCGGCGGGCGGCGAGGCGGGCGCTAGTGCCGGCCGGTGTCCCGGCCCCGAGCGGGGGTAGCGGTGTCTCCGGACCCGCCCAGAAGCGCTTGTGAAGAAATGTTTGTGAAATACTTGCTATGCCTCAGGCATCCTGCTGGGCAGGGGGGTTACAGGAGTGAACCGGAATGCACTGGGTTCCTCACCTCGTGCTCCTTACGGTCTAGCGAGGGCATTGATCACACGAATGCCAGCAAAGCCGTGGTTGGTGCAAAGGAAGAGAACAAAGGGCTCGGAGAAGGTGGGAGCGAACGTCACCTAGCCAAGGAGGTCTGGGAAGGCGCCTCTGTAGAAGGGATGCAGGCATCGCCTCCTTCCTCCCTTCCCCCACCCATGCACACACAAAAACACACCCACATAGACCAACATACCCATGCACTCCTTAACCTAAACACAACAGAGAGTTTACCGTAAATCTCTCTCTGCCCACCTCTTAGTAGTTACAGGTACCGACGGTGTCGATCAAAGGCCGGAAGAACCACGCTGATCTAATGGGTTCTGCAGATGACAGGCAGCTTGAGATCGGTATGTGGGCTGGTGATACCTCCTAGAGATGTACTCCCAAATATCTAGATTTTCCCACTGTCAAACGGGCCGGCAACATTGCACTCACCATCAGGAACTCTATGCATGGTTGGCATGTGAAATGACACAAAAGCCTAATGTTTAAATGTTAAAAGTTTTCTAGGTTAAATAGCCTACCACTTAAAATTTAAAGCTTTCGGAGTTGATAATTCTTTATTCATTTCGAATATCAGGTGTGTTTATGTGCTAGACATTGGAGATAGCAAGCCAGATAGACCTGTCTTGGTAAAGTACCCAGTCCACTAGAGAAGAGAGACAAGTTAACTGATTACAGTGAAGTGTTGCAAATGGTATTTTATGTTATGTGTAGGATGCCAGGATAGCCCAGAGAAAATCAAATTGGATTGTGAAAGCCTTCTGGGAAATGATGCTTGAGCTGAGTGTTAAAGGACAAGTAGAGATGGAAGAATGGATGGGGTTGGGGAGGAGAGAATGAGAGAGTCCACGCACAGGAGCAGGGCACCCCTATATGAAGGCCTGATGCTTTTAAAGGGCTGGAAGAATTAACATGTGGCCAGACCAAAAAGAATGTGTAGACAGTAGCAGGAGATGGGCCTAGATAGCCAACAGGGACCGTATCCTGAAAGACCTTGTTTGAGACGCTAAGTAATTTTTAACTTGATGTCTAAAAGCTACATGAGCCAATGACTTAATGAGATTTTCTGTTTGGACAAAACTTGGGTGTGGACAGTAGCCTGGAGGCTACTGAGGAAAAGAAGAGCAGGTTGAAAAGACATTACAGAAGTAGAACCTCTCATAGGACCCGAATAACCCACAATCACTTGGAGCCTCCTTACCCTTCACAGATCCAGGTACACTTTAATAGATCTGCAACATAACCAGCGCCAATTTAGACAAGCCCAAGGACAAAATGGCGCTACCCACCTCCTCCCCTCCCCTCCTGAAGCCTCCTGACTTAAACAGAAACCCCTTTTGCTTCGGCAAGGACGCACACCGTTCTCCACCCCATCACATTAGCATAATGACCCTCCTTGATGGTATCAGCCAGCCGCTGGTGCACTATATAAGCTCTACCACCCCCACACCTTTTCAGGGCAGCCCCAGGCTGCCTGCCACTTTGGGGACAGCCAGGAAGATTTTCTTCCTTTAATAAAGCTTGAACCGTACCCGGCATCTCAGCTCACTTTCTTTCACACTTGCCCTCCTCTTCCTAATCTTACTGTGTCAAAATTTTCTGTCCCTATTTCTCTCTGAGCTATCTCTTCAGATCTGTTCAGGCACAGGCAAGCTCTGTTTCTTTTTCCTGCACTTGGTGGTGCTTAGCTAAATTTACCCAAGATAGGAAGCATCACTCACAGCTATCCTTCCCTCACTGGCCCATTACTACCAGGTGGTCCTCCCCGCCGTTTGTAACCCCTAGTCTACTGCACCTCTTTGGGAGTCCAGTCTTACCAAGCCGATCTGTATTCCTCAGCTTCTCTGGGATTCTAGTGAACAAAAATTTACCCATCTTGTTAGAGCTGATGACCAACTAGAAATGGGGATAAGAGGCTGGGATCCTGTATGATGACAATATTCACAAAGAACCCAGGGGAAGAAGCTTGACTGAAAGGGTATTGATTTTGTTAGGACAAGGCTGATCTGAGGTACCTGAGGGACATTTAAGTGGAGGTATCAAGGGGACAATTGGACGTATGGTTTAGAACTCAGAAAAGGAGGCTGAACAGAGATAGAAGCATGTGAATTTTCAATAAGCCCTAGTCATCGAAGCTGTGAGAGCAGATGAGATCACCCAGGTAAAGCGCATAGAGTGGGAAGAGCAGAGTAGGGAATAAACCCAGAGTGAGAGTCCAGAGGGAGCCAATAAAGGGAACTCAGAAAAAGCTACCTGATGGGCCGGCCCGCGGCTCACTCGGGAGAGTGCGGTGCTGATAACACCAAGGCCACGGGTTCGGATCCCATATGGGGATGGCCGGTTTGCTCACTGGGTGAGCGTGGTGCTGACAACACCAAGTCAAGGGTTGAGATCCCCTTACTGGTCATCTTTTAAAAAAAAAAAGAAAGAAAAGAAAAAGAAAAAGCTACCTGAGATTTGATACCAATGAGGAGAAACATACAGGAGAAGCTAAGGTAGGAAAGGACAGCAAACAGAATCAAATGGCGAAGGGAGGACAGGCAAAAGGAAGGGAAGTGCCAATTTGTTTTGTCCACATGGGGCTCAACTGATGACTCACTATTTTATTGTGGAGTGATGAGGGCAGGTAAGAAAACAAAGAGAGTTAAACCAGGTTTATCTTTGCAGGAAGATGCCTTTGAAGGGAAGGAGAAAGGATGGTAATGAGGTTTTTTTGTTTAGTTTGACTTTCAGATAGCAAAGGTGTGAGCAAGTTTACGGGCTTAAAGACAAGACACGATAAAGACGGTGGGGTAGGGGACCAGATCCAAAGCCTTAATAAGCAGGAGTTGGTATTTCTTTCCCTAAGGGGGAAGATGGAAAGATGGGAGCCAGATGGACATAAATACAGAAGAGTAAGTTAAGGTACTCACTATCTTACAGCCTCCATTTTCTTAGTGAAAAAAGAAAGAACTTTCTAAAGTAAGCCCCTCTGGAGAGTGAGCAAGATGTTGAGGTGTGGAGTGTAAGAATAAAGCAGGGTGGGAAAAGCATCCTAAAGCCACCTAGGGATTGTCAGGCAGAAAAATCATATAATTTTTACCAGTAATAAATAGCACCCATATAGAGAACGGCTCACTCAGGAGAGTGCAGTGCTGATAACACCAAGGCCACGGGTTCGGATCCTATATAGGGATGGCCGGTTCGCTCACTGGCTGAGCGTGGTGCTGACAACACCAAACCAAGGGTTGAGATCCCCTTACCCGTCATCTTTAAAAAAAAAAAAAAAAGAAACACACACACACAGCCACATAGCTGTATTCACAAATAAGGTCAGTGCTTGGCTGACATCTAATAAATAGGATTTTTTCAACCAGCATGTACGAAGGATCTAGTTATTATGTTTTTTCAGATTTGTATGAAAGTTAACAGTTCTTAGTTGGGTATGACAAATGAATATTTGTATTTGCCAATACTTGTATGCTTTTTATACCACAAGGAACATTTGCTAAATATCTAGCACTTTTTTCCAGGACAGTTTCAGAGCTTCTCTTCTTAAAAACTACCCAACTTCTATCCAGTTCTCTCTCACCCTGCACTCAGTGGATGGCCTCCCTCCTGCCATGCTTCTCTTCTGAGTGCTTCGAGACCTTCCAAAGATTATTTTCAAGCCCTCCCCTTACAACCAACATGGCCCTACACCTATCACCTCACATTTCCTCCCAGCCCCAAAAGAGGTATCTCTAATCTGTAAAGCTACTCCCTGCACTTGAACTCTGGGTGTAACCTTCTGTCAGTGTCCTCCAGAGCCTCCTGTCCCCCAGCCCCACTTTCCTGCACCCTCCAGACATTGTCAGCCAATCTTTCTGCTCCTGTTGAACTACCTTTTTCTCCCCTTTTGCTGCCTCAAATCTTTTCTGGAATAAGTATAAAATTTTTCATCACGGTATCTTTATTTTGCTGTTTAATACCCACAGATGTGGTGATACCAACAGCCACCAATCCTCTCTTCAGGTATCTTAGCACCAAGTCCCAACCACCCCTCCAAAATATACAAGGTCTGGGTTTTATCTTTACCCCATACCGAAACCATTTACTCAAGTTTATCAAAACTCTCGAGCAAAATTCCATGAAGTTTAATCCCTCTTCTTCTTATTCAACCTGTCTGAAGCATTTAATCCTACTGGACATTTCCATCTCCTAAAAATTCTCTGCAATCTTGGTTTCTACCATCTGCGCTCTCCAACCTCCTGTTGGGATTCTCACTTGCTCCCTTGATTCCCTTGATAAAACCGATCTTCTTCCCCATCCCTAAAGTCCTGGTGGCCCCTCTGCCTCTCTCCATTCATGCTGCTTCCTCCATTGGCTCATCCCTCCCTATGGATCCCAAATACCACTTCAAGTCTTTATTCTAACTGCTGGCAGAATATATTTGTATCTAATTAAAATGATAAAGGCTACCATGAACACATTACGACTGTCTAGGCCTTCTCAGTTTACAAAGTGCTTTCATCATCTCACTTCCTCAGAAAGAGCAAGTACAACCCCAATTTAGTAATTATGGACACCGGAGTTCAGAGACATACTACTAAAGTTCAAACTACTCTTGCACCACAAACTCTTTTCTTACCACTTTTCTCATTTCTGTTAATGGCAGAAAGTACCTCAATTTTCAGGCCAGACACTGATACCAGTTTTAATTCCCTTCTCTCCTTCTCACCCCTTATCTCTGTCACTAAGTGATATCAAGTCACTCTTCCAAGTGCCTTAGGCTTTCCTTCTTTGTTAGGATCTGTCATTTTATATGTCCCCACACAACCTCACTCTTATCAAGTTTATGAGCTGGCTATTGTCACCCAAACTGGGCTTATCTGCTAACACTGGCTATTCCTATTTTTTAGCCATGGGTCATCTTGTACTTTCAGTTCCAAGAAAACTTTCATACTGAAAACACTTTTAGCCTATGAGAAAAGAACGACAGGTTTTCAAGAAATTATCGCATGTTGTTTGTTCACAACATGCAGGTCCACAGTCCTCTAGAACTAGAAGGGTAGCAGGAACTTGCCCTCCTCTCATCATAAGTAAATGAAAACAGCTTATCCAGATTCCCAGGCCAACCAAAGGTGGGGAGGGAGGGAGATCCAGACAGGAAAGCAGATGAGAACTGAGAAAGCTGAGGAGCTAGTGGCTCGAGAAGTCAGAGGCTGAAGATGCAAAGACACAGAGGTAGAGACTCCAAGGAGGCTGAAAAGGCTACAGAGGCTGGGAGGCTGAGGAGGCTGGGGAGGCTAAGGAGGCTGGGAGGCTTGGGAGGCTGGGGAAGCTGGGAGGCTGAGAGGCTGGGGAGGCTGGGAAGGCTGGGAGGCTGTGGAGGCTGGGGAGGCTGAGGCACTGAGACTGCTGAGAGAAGTGGAAGGTGGGGAGCAGTGTCTGGCTGGAAAGGTGGGGTCCTGCACCTCAGTGTGGAGCATACTATAAAGCAAACATATTTCACAGGGCCTAGTTTCTTATACTTTCAGGGTTAGTTTAACTTCTCAAAAGTACATATAAAATGTTGATCTTGCAAAAAACAGGAAAATTTCCCCAGGCTATATAGTCTCTGTTGTAAGATAAAAAATCGTAACATAGCAAGGCTGCTGGTTCAAAGACAGACAAGTTACTGATTGATATGTAAAGATACTGGGAAGCTGTGTAGGGAGAAGGAATGTTTGCTAAGACCAAGCTGTTGTTGGTGGATCACTTAAATTGCCTTATGGAATGTCATCTGGCTTGTTTTACTGAATGTTACCAGCCTATACTGTTAAACTATAACCCCATCTATGTTCTCTTCCTGTAACTTCCTTGTCTGGAGAATAAATGCGGGAAGAGAACCCCAATTCATGGTTAATTTTCCAAATGAAAGGAATGCCTCGCTCTTGAGGGTTCTGGGAGATTAACCACTTTGGAGCTTCTCACTGCTCAGAAGAGGTGGGCTTTGAGTAATCCTTTGCAGCTCCGTCACCCAGGGGAAAAGGGGTGACAGATCAGTGGGAGGCAAAGCAACACTTCAGAGTGAGGTAGATCCAAGAACAAGGGCCAAATGTGCCCTTTCAGATGCCATCAGTCTTGAGCCTACCTGTCTCTTCAGCAATGAATGTAAACAAGAGGCCCCATTTAAACAAGTTTCACATCGCAGCTTCCTGCTTCCTCCAACTCTAATTTCCAAGTACAAATACAGTAGTGATTCTATGTCTACTCTCCTTTATGTTGCAAGTAAATAGCAGGCCGTGCTGTTGTGTCATTCTTTGTAGCCTTTATAATAACCTCGGGGGTACTAATACAGAATATAGAATAATTTACCTTAAATCCTGGCTGTGAAAAGTAAATAATTCTGACAGGTGACCATCAGTTTTCAGGGTGCTAAATTAAAGTCTAAAATCCATATGCAGGAGATCTGGCTATTTTAGGAAGATATTTGAACTGATTGGCAGTTCACCTAGGAGACAGAATTCTACAAGATAATCATTTGGTAAAGTAAAAAAACTTCTCTTCTATGAGTCTGAAAATTCTAAGAAATAGTTTTTGGACTGGACATAAATAAATCAATTTAAGTTCTTGGAAGAGTTTATCCAAAATGTAAGGCAGAGGGGGTTTCCAAATATTTGCTTATTGTTTTCTCCCCCCCACCCCCCCCCAGCTACTTGCTTAAATTGCACATCTACTCATTAAAAGCAAGTTAGTTTGGTTAACTTAGTTGGTTAGAGTACGGTCTTGCTAACACTGAGGTCAAGAGTTTGGATTTCCAGGGCCGGCCCGGTGGCGCACTGCTATAGTGCACCACTTGGGAGCGTGGTGGCGCTCCCGCCGAGGGTTCGGATCCCACATGCAGACCGGTTCCCGCTCACTGGCTGAGCGAG